ATCATTCCATAACCAATGTCCAATGCATTTTTGAGTTGATTTTTATATTACACAAAAGAGCTTTGAAGAGTGGTATTGAATAAGCTTTTCAAAGTAGAGTTTGAAATCAGCAAGAAGTTATGCTTCAAAAAATCAATAAGAAGCTTGACAATCTACCTCATTGTTCTCCAATCTAATCTATCAAGCTCTTGGGATCTATGAGTCTAAAATCCACCACTCTGTGGAATTACTACTACATAACAAGCTCAAGAGGTAGAATGGAAGAACTTCCAATTGTAAAATTGTTAAGTTAATTTCAATATGGATGTTTTTAGTTCAATTAAAATAATTGCCTTTCAAGCAATGGTTACTAATATTAAATTAAAATATTATATAAAATTTATTATGTAAAATGATAAAAAAAAAATTAACTAAATTATTACTATTAACTCATAATAAGAATAAAAACTTAAATTTAATTTTAAATTAAAAGCTAAAATTAAAAATTAAATTAAAAAGTTTAAGTTAAAATTAAAAATTTTAATTGAAAATTAAATCCAAAATTTAAAGTTGAAAATTAAAATTTAAAATTTTAAGTTAAAAGTTAAAGTTGAAAGTTAAATTTTAAAACTTAAATTTAAAAATTAAATTTAAAATTTTAAGTTAAAAATTAAAACCTAAAGTTAAAAGTTAAAGTGAGAATATTAAAGGATAATAGTTAAAAATTAAAATTTGTTATTCAAAAATTGAAATGTGGAGATTACAAGTCACTGTGAAGATGGAAATAAAAATAAAATAAGAGAGGTAAAAGCGAAGGTACCTTGTTAACGTCCAAGGATTGAAGGCAGTGACCTCCTTCTACTCTAAAATTTGCCAGAAATTGTAACTAGTTCTAAATTGGACGGTTCTTAGTTTGTTGCAAGGTTAACTTAAAGACGCTCTTGTTTTAATAAATTTCTTTGCAATCTATTAATTCAGTCATAAGAATTTTTCTTTGAAGTTGAGTGATCCAAACTACCACTACAACCACCCCCCTTCACTTAGAAATTTGCTAAAAATCCAAATCATCTTCAAATCCAGCAAAACTTATGTCTTTCAAAGCTTAGCTTAAATACCTTAGCTTATTAAGCTCAATTCTTTCAAAATTTCAATTGAATCCAATTATAAGGCCTAAAGAAATGCCTTCCCAAATTCGATAAATCCAAATTGTGAAGGCAGTTGACTCTCTTGTAGTCAAAATTCCACCAAAAAGTCAATTCAACTCCAAATTGAGTGAGCCTTATCTTGTTGGAAAGCCAACAACAGAAGCTACAATCACAAGAAATTTTATATTGAAATAAAAAAACTAACTGATTGATTGGAAGAAATCCGAGGCTCTTGAAACCCTTAAAGTACTTGGGAGGCCAAGGAAGCTATCTACCACAATGAAGCATGTTTTAAAACCCAATGATTGTCATTCATAACTAAAAATCCATGAAAACCTGCCCACAAGTTCACAATAAGATTCAATGATCTAAATGAAATTAAAATTAGGATTTTTGGCCAAATTTTGGCATGGCTTTGCCCTTCACCAAAAGACGAGAGAGAGAGGGCTTTGAAAACCAAGCCTCTCTTATACAATTGAGTAGAGGCTCATAGAATGGTGGATGCATCTTTACCCTTGATTTCTAAGATTCCTAATCTAGATCTATGGCCTTCATTCATCCAAAAGCCAATTTCGTTACTAAGATTGATGGATATTATTAGTGGTAAAAAAAATAATTTTTGGTAAATCTAACTTTACCATTGTATTCAAAATATCTTTTTATGCTAAGGTTGACTATTCACATGCTTTGATCTATGTTTATTTATAATTTTTATGAAAGTTTTTATCTCTAGAGATTTTAGCAATTATTGTAAAATCCTTCAAAAATAAAAATTTCAGTGCTCGACTTATATGTTGGAGGAGAAGGTTCTTAACTTGTTTTCTTCATCCCATAAGATGAATCCAATGCCGCCATTACATTTGAAAGCCTCCATTAATTGAAAAAAAACTACTTTTCCACTTGGATTTATTGAAGTTGAAGAAGAAGCTTCATAACTGTCATTACTAAACTTCACTAAAATCTTTTAGAAAGTTCAAATTCTAATTCACTATAAATCATATGACATGATTGTAGGTGAACTCATAGACTCACAATCAACCCTTATAGGAATGACTCACAACCTCTAAATTATTAAAATTAATCAAATTACTATTCTAATTTTTTAATCCTTATCATTTTGGTCTTAATTAACTTAACTCAAGGAATCAAGCTAGGATTTATACCATCAAAGGTTACAACCCTAAAAATTTAATAAAACTAGATTCTACTTATATAAATCCTAATCTACATGCTCAATTATCATAAAATAATAAATAATTTAAAAATTAAAAATTTGGAGCATAAATGACAGCTCATAGGATCTAAAAGTAATAAGCTTCGAAGGAGTGTAATGACACAATCATTGTTGTGTTATAATAAAATCATAAAATAAAATATTAAAGTAAAGATTTTATTATAGAAGAGCTTAAATGAAAATTATTTTAAAAACATAGATAATAGATAAAGAAGTGATAAAAATTGGTAAGTGTTAATATAGCCTTTTTGTAAAAAGAACTTCTACTTACTTTGAAGGGCCAAAAATGAAAAAAATCAAAGTGCATAAGAAAAATAGTTGATATAGACATCTTTAAGAAGGAGTTAAGAATAGTTTTTAGCAAACATTACCTTAAAAAAACAAGAATTGATATCCAAATAGGACTAGTAATGAACTTGGATCAAAATCAGATATTGAGGCACAAAACTACACACCTATAGCAATATTGAGATTATTTGGTTGATTAGAAAGTAGAATTTAAAAGTAAACTTGTAAATTTTTCAATAAACATTAATTTTGAGTCATTTCAGTTTGTATTGACTTCGTAAAGGCTTTTCAAAGTCAAGGTTGTTTTGGAGGTGACTTTGGATTTTGAGTAATACAAAGAGCTCATATTTTGGAGAGTTGTGCAAAATTGGTAGATAATCTATAGGTGTAATTTTTTGATTGTGTGATTGGTGTTATATTAATTTTTTTTTTTGAAAGTTTGAGCTTAATGTAATTATTTGTTTAAAGATTATTAGAATTCAAACATATTGGGATCTCAAGAATTAGAGTTTAAAAGACCACTAAGGGTTTCTAAGATATATAATAATCTATGAATTTAATTAAGTTTTAAAAAAATCATAATAATATTTAAATTTAATTTTAATAAATTTAGAAAGTTTAAAATCAATTGAACAATGCAATTTAGTAATATTAGCTCTAAAAAATTGGGACTAAGATTAGAAAAGAAAGTCGGCTAATATCCAAGCAAATTTTAGGATTTATCTTTTATTTAAAAATTTGATCTTCTTGAAATTAATTGTACTTGTTTTCAACTTAATAATTAAGAAGTGTGCAAATTTAGACTTAAAATCAAGGATTAGATTATTAGTTCTTAAGATGTCAATTTATTGCAAAGATTGATTAAAAAATTTCTTAAGTTTTAAGGTTTGATTAGGATTTCATTAAGATTTGGTTTAAGATATGATTTAGAATTTGATTAGGATTTAATTAGCATTTGATTAATTTTTTTTAAAAATTTGATTAGGATTTGATTAGGATTGATTTAGAATTACATAAGAATTTAGTTAGGATTCATTTAGAGTTTTTAAGTAAATCAAAAAATCAAATAATAAATATAAATATACATATATTATGATTTTTTAGATAGGTACAAAAGAGGTTAAAATTTGAACAAATCAATAATACATAACATGTGTAGTATCTATACATATATAGATAATAGGTAATTTAAAATGATGAATAAATTATAATAGATATTAAATTACAAGATAGTAAGATTAAACATATATTTAGTCTATGGATATGTGTGGATATATATTAATAATTAAATAAAGGGAGAGGTAAATGCACTTGTTTTATGTAAATATCTATTATAAGAATATAAAGTGATAAAATCACTATTCATCGTCTTGTGTAAGTCTTTTAAAGTTCCAACATATTTAGTATGTTCTGATAACCTTTTACATTATTGGATACAATAGTGCTGCATTTTGTAAGCATGTCAAATACTCTTTCAACATTGAAGACTAGTGGGTAAACAATTACCTCAAAGGCATAAGAAGGACCAAAAGAAGTTAATGAACGGACGAATGGATTACTAATTCATAAATAATTATAAAGTATGAATGATCCATCTGTAAATGGGAAAACGTTACGACGGATTGTTCAGCCGAGAGCATTGACCAAAGAAATAAAACGAGGGGCACAGTTGCACAAAATGTGAGTGGAACTTTTACGCAATTCAGTTGCTGTATAGCAAATAGCGCAAACATTGAACGTGGACAGAGAGCAAAATTTATTTGGGAGTAAGAAAGCATTTGAGCCACGCTGCGGTGGAAAATACGTGGAGTGGGCAGGGAAGAGGCTGCGTCGGGCAGCATGGGCAGGGGGGATGCTGCCCGTTCAGCCGAAGTCGTCCGTGGTGGTGACGTGGCAATTAGGGCAACAGGATCCCGGGCAGGGCCGGGGGGTGGGGGGGTCGGTTTCATTTGGGTTTGCCGTCGCAAGAGTTGCAACGCAAAAGGGAAGGCAAGGCAAGGGAAGGCAAGGCAAGGGAAGGCAAGGCAAGGGAAGGCAAAGAGGGCTTGGGTGTGTGTTTTGACGTAGGCAGAGTACACTCTCATAGCCGTGTCTCGACGTCGGTCTCTAACCCTAAGCAAAGCAATCAAGCAAGCAGGCAAGCAAGCCACGTCCCAGGAGCACAGCTTTTCTCCCATCTACACGATCATGCCTGACTGCCTTCCTTCCTTCATCTCCACTTGGTTTGTTTAGGTTTGTCACTAAGACCACTACTGCTCATCCACCCCCACCCCCCTTCCGGTATCGACGATTTCCAGCTTGACGCCTTTTATAAAATCCCGTAATCCTGCTGCTCCACGCCTCGGGTTAAGCGTTCCCGATTTTTTTTTATTCTCACTTCTTTCCTTCTTAGTTTTCTTCCTTTCTTTCTTTTTCTTTTAGCTAGTCACCAGAATTAAGCTGTTATTGTTGCATGTTTAATTTGGTGCGTTTAGGCGTGGTGCCTGGCTTAGGTTGGATGATTAGCGCAAGTGTTTTTAGGTTGTCGCGGCTGGCCTGTTTGTTGTGCGTCTCGCGCGCGCCTGGTCCCTATTAAGAAGCTGCTTGAGTGAGTGCTGGGGTTGGGGTTAAGTTTGTTGAATTATTGATCGTCACGTGGAATTTTATGGAAGTTGCGGGAGTGCAAGAGGTGAGAGGTTCGTAGCGAGGGTGTAGAATTGGTTTACATTTGTTCGGATGAACCCGTTGGTCGGTTCTTCAGTTTGGTGTTTCGGAGACTGTTGAATTTCGGTGCTTAGGTTTAGTAGGTTTCGGTGGTCGTTCAGCTGAGAGTCGGTTGACATGCCTCTGCGGGGAGGTTCAACTGTCATGATCTGCAGTGGACATGTAGTAAATAATCTTATCGGCGTCTTTCTTTGTTTGACGAATTCTTTCGTGGTATCGTAGATGTCTTTGTGGTTCGAAGTATTGTTGTTTTTCATAGCTTCTCTTTTTAGTTGATCTTCATCTCTCAGAACTCTTTATCTACTCTATTCCCTGAATAAAGATATTTTATGGTAGCTCCAGCTGATTGCTTTGCTTCTGTTAGTTCTTAGCGTACATCCTTGTGTTCGAGTCAATTGGCTGCAAGTTTGTTTATTCTGGCCCTGCCTTGTGGCGCCTTTTGCAGTTTCATATGTCTACAAGTTACGACCGAATCAGTCCTTCTAGACTTAGTGTAGTACAACCCCTTAACTTTTCAAGGTTCTCTGATTGAGACAATGAGGAATTTGTTTCTCCTCAAAAGGAGTTGCCCGGTTTCAATCAAGTCCAATGGAAGTGTGAGGTTACCAACTCCAAAATAGTATTTAAGACTAAGCAGTATTTGCTTCATCTACTTTCTGTCCCAGTTGAATGTGTTTTCCGTTTGGCGATTCGGAAATTCAAAGCTTGAGGTTTGAAACCTATAAAAGAACCTTTTCCGGCTCTGCATTGTGAAGGACTGAATTGCGTTTGAACTTTTAAGTAGTCGTGTGTGCACAGGGCGAGGTTGTCAACTGTGTCTCATGTCCCACATCTTTCGGAAGTAGCAGTCAAGGGGAGTTTTGGACCTTAGGCTCGGCATTTGTAGAATCAGGTTTGCTGAAGCATTCATTGTTAGCCTACTCTTTAGTTTGTTTATCCCAGCTTGATATTCGATTGCCCTTAGGAAAGGTTTAATGTGGACTTCAATCACATCAGTAACTTAAAAATAGTAACCTTTATTACGTGAAAAGGTTGTTAGAACGCTACCTTGTCTTGAAAGTACGACAGATTTTTAATCTGTATCTTTCTTGTATGCAATTCTCCCAACTGGTACTTTCTGCTACTCTTATTTTTTTTTCTGTTTCCTCTGTAAGGTGATTTTATTAGTATTCGTTCATGGATCCATTACAAAGCACGTTGCATTGGCATATGGTGATGGACATAGCCCATCTATGTGATTGCTTGTGGTCCTCAGAGTACGTTGATATGCTCGTCATATTTAAACTTTGCTCACCCCTTTTCTTGAACTGATTCGGGGGGCTTGTCAAATTGCAGCTCTTACGACGGATTATTGTCTGCCCAACCCAACGTGAACAATTATCATGCGAAATGGTTTTGTACTCCTGTACTAATAGGGACTGCTGGTGTTAAATTGTTGCACCAAGTGAGTTCGTGTAAATATTTAGCTGTTCACCCGCGCAGGATCATTATCCATAGGTTTGGAAGTGGGAAAGCTGCCGTCAAACGTGTATGCTGCGGGTTGTTTTTATTTGGAAGTTCTTTTGACTCGCAGTTTTTTTGGTCGTTATTGAGGTTGCTTTTTAATACAAGCAATTGATTTGCCCCCTCAAGCCTGTGTTGCTAAGCACGTGTTATATTTTTAGATCTGGCCCGAGAAGTCAAAACACTGGTGAATAGCGCTTCGCATCCAACATGAGAGGTCATATTGAGGAACTCTCAGATGCTGAAGGTGGAAACTACAAAGTGAAGGCTTCTCGAGTACCAGGCAAAGCTCTTGATTCCTCTATACCAGGTGTCCCTAGATCAGAGAAGAGGGGGCCCAAAATAATTTTCAAGCTTTCCAATGGTCATTCTAAGAATGGTCCCGTACAACAGGAATCTGTACCAGTCAAACCTCGACCTCGAATCATAATTAAACGACCACAACGGCCGGTAGAGCTTGATGACGAGGCTCCTCCTTCAGAACCACTCCCTAGTTCACCTCTGTTTGAGGAGTCTGAAGACGAGAAACCCAAGCCTCGGAAGCATGAAAAGAAGCGGCACAGGAAGATTGGGGATTATATGGAATACCCTGAAGTATGCTCCCCTTCTTTTCTGGATTCTGAAGAAGATGAAGGTGTACTGGAAGAAGATGAGGAGGACGCAGAAGAAGAGCAGTCTCGAAAATCTAAAAAGCATAAAAAGAAACGACGTAAGAAAATCGAAATGGTGGACGATAGCGATGATGAAGATTTTGATCCTATGGTTGAAATGAGGAGAAAGAGATCTACCAAAAAAGCTGGGGATTCTCTTGGAGCGAGTACGCCAACGTTGCCGAATCTACTAGTAGAAAGGATAGATATTCTTGGTGATGAAGCCACCAACAAGAATCTCCATGAAATTTCTAGACCGTCTGTAGCTGTTCCGCTCGTTACACCAGGTCTTGGACAGCGTTCAGATGATAATCCAATTATCAAGACCCTTCAAAAGTGTCATCGAATTGCAGCTAGTTTGAAGAGTGAGCTGAAAGCGACCAGCACCTCTGATGACGCTGTTGGTACGGACCGGTATGCAGAAGTTGATGCATCTGCTGCGAAGATTGTTTCTCAGGTATGTATTACAAGATATGAATCAGTTTCAATCTCAAATCAAAGGTCAACTTACAGACTAGTTTTCTCCTGCCACGAATTTACCAGATTTTCTTAACGTAAAACGTATCGTGTCATCAGTCAGATGTATGTGCTGCCTGTGGAATTTGTGAGAACGATGGCAGTCGTGTACTCAAGCCTTATCAACTTGTTGGAGTTAATTTTATGCTGCTGCTACATCGCAAGAATGTCGGAGGAGGTATCTTTGTCATCTATGACTTTCTTACACATTCGTGAAGTTAAGTAGTTTTCTAAATGTGGTGTGATTTTAGTGAAGCTTCTTAAATGAGAATGTTTCTGTAGCAGGGTTAGAAGAAGGGCATTTAGAAAATGTTACGTTGGCGAAGTTGATTCGGTTGAATCAACCAACGTCATGACTTTTCTTGTTATTGTATGTTTTTATTTTTATTTTTTTATATATGTATGTTTCAGGATTGTCCACTGCAATATGTTAAGTGCAGGTGTGTCAGGATAAGCAAAGAAGTCAAGAAGCTATCAACATATTTGTAATGGTGTGCTGATTTTTAGTTGTTGTTTCCAGCTATTTTGGCAGATGAAATGGGTCTTGGGAAGACTGTTCAGGTTAGATTGCACATTCCGCTTGCCTTTACAACTAATCTTCTATACTCCGTATTGTGATGCTGATGTTATTTTATAGGTTAGTTGACGTGGTATCTGCTTCCCTGAATTTGAGCTCTCTTACTGCGGCCCCTACACTAAGTTTTGGCGATGTTAATTTCTATTTCCTGGATGAAATCCTTGTTCTCTCGGTTCCGTTGTTTGAAATTATTTCAGCAGAGTTATTGTGTCAGGATTCTAGCCCTTCCATCACGAGCAGCCATAAGTTATCATTTTAACAGTTGATTAGTGAAGGTTCAATTTTATTTCATCATAAATGCTTGTTCAATTCACTTATGTGTGTTTATTTTCGTTGTCTGGCCAGGCTGTTGCCTTTCTCGCACTTTTAAAACACCTTGACAGAGACCCAGGCCCTCATTTGTTAGTTGCGCCAGCTTCACTGCTGGAGAATTGGCTTAGAGAGATAAAAAAATGGTGCCCAGCGTTCACAGTTGTGTTATACCATGGAAACGAGAGGGCCGTACAGTACGAGAGGTTGCATCGTGCTGCCAAGGGGAAGGGACCAGCACCTTTCAACGTTATGCTTACTTGCTACTCCCTCTTTGAGCGGCAAAGGTCAGTGAGTTCTTTAGATTCTTTGGTTATTTTATTTCGAGCCTCTAATCAGGCACTGTCGTAGCAAGGTCTGTTCAAAGATGCGTATGTAGTAATATCATTATTTGGTCTCATCTCTTGTTTGGTTCTGAACCTTAATCACATGTTCGAATTATGGTTATTGGGTGCTGTTATGAATTTGGCTTTCTCCATGTTTGACAGTGAGCAAATGAAAGAAGATCGAAAGTTTCTGAAGAAATGGAATTGGAGCACCGTGCTTATGGATGAGGCACATTTACTCAAGGATCGTGGCAGTTATCGCAGCAAACGATTACGTGATGTTGCTCAGAAGGCTAAACAACGTGTCATGTTGACTGGAACTCCGCTTCAGAATGATTTACAGGTATTTTTGTTTGACCAAGTCACTTTCACGCCTCAATGCAATGGTGTAGGTGACTCGCTACAAGGACCTAGTACTGCTTTTCTTAAAAGATGAACCGAAGTATTTCCCAGAGAGAGGATTTGGTAGAGACCCATCTCCTGGATAGTTCCTGTTTTCTTGTATGTTTTCAGCAAATTGGTGAATCTCCGTCGTTTGCAAGTTAAAAACTTAATAAAAGTTGACTTTGAATACACAATGTTAGCATAGACATCTTGTCCTTTCTCCTTAAACTGCAGAATGACATTTCTGCCATGCTGATCTGGTTTGTTTCATGTGACAGGAATTATGGTCACTTCTGGAGTTTATGATGCCAGATATATTCGATACTTCGGGTGTAGACCTCGATCAGTATCTTGGAACCAGAAATTGCACAACTGGTGTTTTAGCTCAAGACAAGGACTTGATTAATCACATTAAGGCTATTCTTGGTCCTTTCGTGTTGCGACGCGTTAAAAGTGATGTTATGAGACAGCTTGTGGCCAAAACTCATGAGGTACCTCGCTACATTAGTCATAGTTGGTTACAATTCTTTTTGTAGCTTGTTGTCTTTGATCTCAGGTTTTTAAAGTCACAAATCTGGCATCCACTGCATTTGCTGTCAGAATGATCTTTGTTTAGATTGTTTAATAAAGTATCATTAACAAATACTAGCTTATAGTACTGGTATCTGACTCGTTAATCTTCTCATCCTGAACAACCTAAAGCAAGAGAAATTGTTAATGAGCCCCGCCGGTATATGTGTATAGGTTGTCTCTGTTGATATGCTCGAGGAACAAGCTCTTGCTTACAAGCAAGCTGTAACTGAGTACCGGGCTTTGGCAATGGCGGCACGAGCATCGAAGAATTCAAAGGCTAATTCTACCAATATACTGGACTGCCTGGCTCGTCGACAAGTGTCAAATATTTTCACTCAGCTCAGGAAGGTCAGATTGTGAATCACATGCTTTAATTTCACATCAATTTAGGTAACTTTAGTGAGTTATTCTGCGTTACTCCCTACATTCTGCGTTCTAGTGAATTTTCTGCAAATAATTTTTAACGTGACGAAATCTCTTCGGACAGCTTGGCAATCATCCATTGCTCATCAGACGGATTTTTACGGATGAAACTGTGAAGAAATTAGCTAAAAAGTATCACAAGATGGCTGTGTTTGGTAATGAGTGCACTGTTGAGCGTGTACAAGAAGAGTTGAGCAACTACAGCGACTTCACTCTCCACAGAGTTTGTCCAGTAACCTTTAAACCTGCTTCTATTTGATGCGAAGAGTGCAAATAGACAAGAATCAGTAGATAGAGAAGTTGTTGGACCAGTTTCGCAAGCAATGTTAGGTTACGCTATTATTTTTTAATCAGTTGAATTGATTTTGTTCCACTTCTATATTGTGTGGAGAACTCTCAGTCATGGTTGTGTGTAACACCTGTTTTACCTATTCGTGTACCCAAACATGCTGATGTATCCGTCCTCTTGTCATATACAGATGTGTTTGGTATATGGCGGAGTTCCTGGAGGTCAAGGAAAGCTAGATGATCATCATGCTTTGGCATCTGCCAAGTGTCGAGTGAGTATCTACACCTGAACTTACCCGTCGTTTCCAGTAGTTCAACATCCCCCTTACAATGTTATTTAAGCGTCCTGAAATGGCAAAGTAGAGAAATGGAAGGTCCGAAATCATCCCACATGTCATCAACAGTGATTTTGTTAAAACATAAGTTTGTGGGTAACCCCGCAGGCTTTGGTAACTCTTTTGCCACAGCTAAAGAAGGAAGGACATCGTCCTCTAATTTTTAGCCAGTGGACGAACATGCTGGATATCCTGGAATGGGCACTTGATGTGATTGGACTTCGATTTACTCGTCTGGATGGAAGGTACGATATCTTCCTCTTTTTAACGTCCTTGCTGTGTAGAATTCATTGACGAGTATTTAGGAATCTTGAAGACAATCCGCTTATTTTAGATTTAGTGGGTAAAATATATATTATATTTGGAGGTTCTGAATGATATTCCAGTTCTTGCCATTCCACAGTAGGTTTCCACCCTTATGATTTAGGTTTCGAGATATTAATTTTTGATGGCTAGAAGAGCGTATTTGATACAAAAATGCTAATTTTTTCATTGTATGAACAGCACCCCTGTGACGGAGAGGCAGAATCTTGTGGACGAGTACAACAATAATCCAGATATCTTTGTCTTCTTACTGTCAACTAGGGCTGGTGGACAAGGCCTGAACTTGACTGGTGCAGATACTGTAATCATTCATGATGTGGATTTCAATCCACAAATGGATCGTCAAGCTGAAGATCGTTGCCATCGAATTGGACAGACAAAACCTGTGACTGTGTATCGGTAAGAATAGTAATCACTTTGTGTCACAAGACGATTCTATCTTTAATTACTTTGATCAGCATAGTTTTTATGATTATTTTCATCTTTAGCATCTTTAGCAACTATCTTTGAGTTGAAAGGCACAGTCTAACTTCAATTAAGGATGTAACGTAACACGTAAATTGCAGTTTTCAGAAAAAAGTAGTGATGAAGAATAGTGCAATTTCAAATAAATCCCTCAGTTTAGTATGTTAAGAAGAAAGCGTTAGAAAGATTAGGACTTTTTCCTAAGCGTGTTGCTATTTTATTCTGCAGGCTTGTTACCAAGGGTACTGTGGACGAGAGCATATTCAGAATTGCTCAGCAGAAGTTGGTCCTGGATGCTGCTGTTCTGGAGTCTGGCGGAGACAAGGAATCTGCTACCGTCCAGAATGAGCGTGATGTACGAACTATGGGAGAGATTTTGTCAGCCCTTTTAGCTGCCTCGACATCATAATTTTTGTAAGTTTAGGTTCGCAGATTGGAAACCACTGATCAAGTTGCTACTCATTGTCTGTGTACTACCAACTGTCACATATCGAATCAAAATTAAAACATTTACTGGGCTCTCCTAGTTACGCTTAGGTTTAGTCAGGTGCACAAGATCATGTTCATAAGAATTTCTGTCGAGGCCATTGGATGAGCCTGGTTACAAGCTAATGGGACTGAAACCCTAAAATTGTCTACGGAATTTTGCAATTCATTCCTTGATTGCTATTTTAATTGAAGACGAGGAAAATTTCCTTCTTTACCGTTGGTGGCGAGCGGGGATATCGTTTCCGCAGCTTTTTAAGAATCGGTGACGGTGTTACAACTTTTGAAGTTGAAGGGACAATTGTTTGCTCTTATACTGTACAGCTAATAAAACATGTCACAGATGCTATGTAGATTTGTCTAGTTGTGGGGACCCTTTCTCTCAGGCATTTGGAGTTGTGAATAAATAAACCTCACGGTTTAAAAACAAAAAATGTAGTAAATATGAAACAAGATTTCCATCCTATTCAGAAATAAATTTGTTTCTGCCTAAATTGCTTCAAAAAAGTTGTTTTTCAAATTAAGCTTCAGTTCTAATAATCAATGTGAAGGTATTTGAGATTTTTTGAATTTAAAATGCCAAAAACATTCAATCTTAATTTGGGACCCCAATACTATTTTTTAAACTATATGTGATTTTTTGAAAAACAGAACACAAAAGTTCAAATAAAGATCTTAGATATCTTAGATTTCTTTTTAATTATAATAACAATTCATGTGGTGTACATATATATACAATAAGATTTGTAAAGTATACCAATTATGCAATTAAAAATCTTGTTTAATCAATGCTCAATCATAACCAAACATACTTGAAAGTTTTGTGGATTGAATTGTACATGACATTCATAAATATCTATGAAAATACTCTTATTTAGGAAATCTCTATTGTATCAAAATATTAAACCAAAGACATTGTAGTTAATATTTTTAATTACACAGAAAAAACTTTGCAAAAAATCGTAAAAAATTAATTTTTAAGAGCTACAAGTCCATATATCGTATAAATTAGTTTTTTCTTAATTTTTTTTCCAAATATAGTTTTTTAAATTATAAAATATATACATATATATACATAATCTATCAATTTAGAGAAATAAAATTTGTATTTATTTGTTTAGTACTATTTTAAATGTTTACAAACTACAATTTTGTTTTAAAAAGAATATTTTTATTTTATATAATGTTGGTATCTTTTGATACTTTTTATTATATTTTGATTTAAAATATATGTAGACTTTAATCTTATATTTGTGAATAAAACATATCTAGCAATAATTACTAAATACATTTTTTATTTTATGATTAACAAAACAATAAAATTTATATAATGTGAGTGTCCAATTTAACCATTTTAAGAAGACAAAGACAATCAATTAGCTTATATAAGATTTTTGCATCCACCTAATGGAAGATTAAAATAATACACAAACTTTCTAAAAAATAAATCAAGAGATAAAAGTTGAATAATACATTTGAATCTATACAATACAAAAATACAAAAGTATCAAAGAGATGAATTTACACAAACTTATAAGATGACACTATATTTTTGTATAGCAAAAAAAGAAAATAGAAGATTAAAAAAGAGAACACCTACTAAAAAAAATATTATAAAAAATAGAAAAAATATCATACATATTCTATAAATATATTGAAATATCAATAATACTCCTATATTCTTAATAATAGCATATATATACCTAGAATTATTGATAATAGTATAAATATCTTTAGAATTGTTGATAATAGCATACGTATCTTTTACCTTGATAATGTATTAGAAATCTGACAATTCTATTAATGTTTTGTCTTCATATGGGCTAAAAACAAATAAGATCTTGCATGATGTGCACTCTTCGGGAAATTGTCAAAAAAATAAGGAGAGTGCTACAGTTGCTCAATAATGTACAACATACTATGACTCTCTCTTCTGCAACATCCTATTTGGAGTGCGATTTGAATGGTGATTATTTAAGTTAATGTGCAATGTTTTAGTTTGTATGCTTCACAGAGCTAATATTGCATATTGAAGCCATCATGATTCTCTTAGTTTGAAGTTCACAATTCTTGTACAACAAATTATTAGTCTAAGATTAAAACATGTTTGTATTGCCTACCTATTGATTCCTTACTCCATTAGTAATATAAGAACACAACTTTGATGTAGAACTTATTGTCAGTCAAAATGACTTATTGTACATTAAAAGAAGGACTAGGAATGAAAAGTGTTGCTATGATATTGTGATGTGATATATTGATCCACTAGTTGAATGCTGTGTCTATATTCTAATGAAGATGTTGTGTGTGCTTTCCATGTATCAGAAAATGTTTGCTTTGGCTTGTAGACAATGTATTAATCCTATAGGAGCTTGAGTTAGTTTCTAGACATGAGAAGATATCAGTCCTTGCAAAGAACAAGTCTTATAATAGTCAAATATAAAATAATGTTGCCACACATAAAATTACAAACTACAAATAGCCTTGGATTGAAAATAAAGGCTTCATTTTCAAAACAAAATATAGAAGAATCCTAAACTATCCATTGTCAAGGACATAAATATCAGAGAACTGAAAGATCAATTCATTCATTTGTTACTTCAAAAGTCTAAAGAATTATTCAAAGATAATATAATATTAAATTAAAATAGTTATTACCAAAGACAAGACGTCTAGAAAGTCATGAAATAAGACTAAGGACTAGAAAGGCATTGATAAGAGTAAAAAAGGCTTTACTCTTACTTCCATATATATATATATATATATATATTATTTAACTAGAAGCTATGTGGGAATGTTCTATAGGACTTCTAACATGTATCAAATTTGCAAGTCATGTCTTAACTTACAAGGCAAGTTTCATATATGCTCACCATATTGTTAGCTTGTACCACAAGCTATTCACATGTGCAATACATGGCTAATTTATTGGCCAAGTTTTTAACCTATCAATCAACTATAAACATATATAAAGTCAAATATATATCTATGAAGCTTCTAAAACGTTTTTTTTACAAAATAATATTAAATCTACTTACATTTACCTACTACCTAGTACTTCTTATTTAAATAAATATATATATTTATGATATTACCCCTCTTCTAGGGACAAGTTCTACGAGGAGTAGTCATCACATATTGAAGAAGTGCAAGATGTAAGAAATTATGTTTGTTACATATTCTAATCTTTGTAACTTTTGATGGCAGTTCAACCATTAATATTGTTTCATATCAAGCAAGAAGATCAACTTGTCATTTAATTATTATTGAAGCCTTCCTAATTCTCTTCAAATAAATCATTTAAAATACTATCAAGATCTTGTTTCTTGTAGAGCAAAGATTTGATATTCTTCATCTTGGTATTGATAGATGTTGTCAATGAAAAACATTAACCTTCTTTGTTGCATTTGTAACATATTTGACAAACTCCTATGTACATTCACTAATATCATTTTCTTGTTAATGAATAAGATATTCTAATCTATTTTGGTATTGTTATATAATAACATGGCTATTAAATAAAAGATTTTTTTTATTACTATTATAAAAGAACCTAATAGAAATATTTAATAAAAAAATAAGAATAAATAATAGGAAGGTAATAAAAACTTCAATCTTTATATTGTCTTTTTGTAGAAGAAACTTCTATTTACTTTATAAAAGAATAAAATAGCCAAATCAAAGTAAATAAGATTAGTAATTAATATAAGCATATTTAGGAGAAGATTAAGAATAGATTTTAACAAACATTACCTCAAATATAAAGAATTGATATCCAAAGAAGATTGATTGTGAACAAAGGTTGAAATTAGACTCTAAGGGACAAAACCATGCACCTGCAGTAATATTAGGCTTCTTTGATTGATTAAAGAGTGGAATTTATAAGAAGACTTATGAGAGGATTTTCGAGAGTTGTTTTCATGTGATTTGAAGATATATTGAGGTTTTGAATGCTTTTCAAAGTAGGAGGTATATTTAATAGTTTTGGATTTTAAGAAATAAAAAGAAGTTCACAAATTTAATATTTTTTGAGTGTTGTAGCATATTTACATGTGAAAAATTGTCAGTTTGTCATTATGTTTGTTGCAAATGTATGTAATAAATTTGAAGTCAATGGAATAGTTAGATTGAAGGTTGTGAGAGTTTTTGTGGATTATGGTCTCAAATAATTAAAATTTAGTATTAGAAAGGATTTTCACAATCATGCAATATTTGCCATTTGATTGAAGCAAAAATTGGTGAGAGCAATTTAGATTTGAATACTTACAGACAGATAAATTTTTAGAGCAATTGAATTATTCAAAAAGGAACAACCTTTAATGGGAGATTAACATTCAAGTTGGAAAAGGAGGGTGGCCAACATCTAAGAGGTTTTGGAAACTTTTCTTTCAATTGATGTGTTTGATTTTAATTTTTTTTTTAAGATTATAAATTATTTATAGATTAAAGTCTAGATGAAAATTTAGTCAAGATCAATGGTTCAATTAATATTTATTGAGGTTTCAAAATTAAATTAATAATTAATTAAGATTTATTTAGGAATTATTTAGGATTTGATTAAGATTTAAGATTTAATTAAGATTTAGGATTTAATAAAGATTTGACTAAAATTTGATTAAGATTTGGTTAGAATTGATTTAGGATTTTCATAGGATTTGGTCTAAGATTAGGATTTAGAATTTGAAAAGGATTTCATTAAGATATGATTCAAAATTTGATTAGGATTTTATTAAGATTTGATTCAAGTTTATTTAAGATTTAATTAGAATTGGTTTAGGATTTCATTAGGATTTAGTTAGATTTTGTTTAAAATTTATTAAAGGTTATATTAGGATTTGATTAGGATTCAATTAAGATTTTTATTTTTAATATTTAAACTTAAAAAATATACTTTTTATGATTTGTTTATTATATTTTTTAAAAATATTAATTTATGATTTCTTTATGTCCATTTTGTAAATTATTTAAGACTTCTTTTGAGATTTAATTAAAGATTGATTAACATTTTTATAATTTAATTAGAGTTTTTTTAGAATTCTATTAGAGTTGTTAGAATCTTCTTGTTACAAGTTCCATTTTACCGTTGTCGTATTACGTGTTGTATTGCTTGGAAATGCACCAGGCAATTAATTATAAAAGATGAGGTTGTGTTTCACAAACTTCCAAGAAACCCTAATAGGTTTCATCCATATGAGAAGAATATAATTCAAATACCAATTCAA